GCTGGATTTTGATGTGAGAGACAACAGCAGATGCACTTTTTCACGGGAAGGAGCGTTATTATGGATTTATGAGTGTGTGAGTGTGTGCTGGATTAGTTTCAGTTTTTGTCTTCTCCAGATGTTAACTGATGGACTGGAGTGCTGTGGATTACTTGTGGATTATTGTGATGTTTTTATCAGCTGTTTGGACTCTCATTCTGACGGCACCCATTCACTGCAGAGCATCCATTGCTGAGACACTGATGCAATGCTACATTTCTACAAACCTGATGAAGAAACAAACTCATCCTGATCTACATTTACATTTTTTGTGAACAGTTCCTTTAAGACATTTAATAGTGTGTTGATGTAATGAATGATTGATTTGTAGAATAAGCTGTGAAATGTTTTCAGGATAGTTTCCTCACTGCTCCCGGTCAGCAGCCGGGCGAGGGTCCGGCGGAGTGGTGTCTCTCCGCTTCATCTGGCGGCGGAGCACGACCGGCGGGCTGTTCTGAGTCTGCTGATCGAGTCAGGATTCGATGTCAACAGCAAACTCTCTCCGGAGCGCTCCGCTGGGTTCCAGGACCGGCGTGTTTCTGCTCTGTACTGCGCCGTCGCTGCCAGGAACACAGGGGCCGCCGCCGCTCTGCTGAGGGCCGGAGCCGACCCCAACACTGACCCCTGCAGCCCGCTGCTGCTAGCGGTGCGTCACGGCTGTCTGGAGACCGTGGCCCTGCTGCTGGAGCACGGAGCCCATGTGAACACAGGCTTCCCAGCGCTGCTGCTGCACACTCATCAGCTGGACCTCCTGCAGTATCTGCTGGACCGCGGCTGTGACGCTCGGCCCTGCTTTACCTGCGACACACATCACAGCGACCTCAGAACTCACACGCGCCAGAGACACACCAGCGACACTGACGCACAGTTAAAGGTACTGATTCAGTGTGTCTTTGACCAGTTAACCCTCTATGGTTGCCATTTGGCAGCAATTCATTTATACTTATTTCCTTGTTATTTTGGGGGGGAAAATACAATATATTGCAATATGGTGTTTGTGTCTGTGTGTGTGTGTGTGTGTGTGTGAGTGTGTGTGTGTGTGTGTGTGTGTGTGTGTGTCTGTCTGTCTGTCTGTGTCTGTGTGTGTGTTTGGCAGATTTTGATGAAAATAAAGATTAGATGCATCAATTTCTAAAAGAAACGTACATTTCAGTTGAAAAGAAAATCATAATTTAATAGAAAAACTACTACTTTGGTCATTTTTTATTGTGGTACACTGTTGCCATATCAAAAATCTGTTTTGATTTGTACAATTGGAAGTTATTTCATGTAATAAAAACTTGTTTTTTTTAATATATATTTCATGGTTCGAACATGATGCGTAGCATAGAGGGTTAGTAGGCCTGCAGTGTGTTTTATCTTCTGAAGCTCTGACCGTGATCTGTTGTCTTTCAGTTCTGTGACTGGATCTCGTCCTCCTGCTGGAGACGCTCAGCCGGGCGGATCGTTGATCTGCTGCTGGACTATGTAGGAAACGTTCAGCTCTGCAGCAGGGTCAGAGATCTCCTTCTGGACCAACCGGAGTGGACGAGCATTAAGGAGAAAACATGTGAGTGCACGAGCATCTGTTTTCATTCGCCAGTAAAAGCGCACGCAGCGCAGACAGCAGAGATACACAGATCGCTATGATCTTTGACCTTTGAACTATTTCAGCAAGCAGTGACACATCTACACGACCAGTCAGAAGATTTTGAACAGTGAGATTTTTAATGTTTTTAAAGAAGTCTCTCATGCTCACCAAGCCTGCATTTATTTGATCCAAAGTACAGCAAAAACAGTAATATTGCGAAATATTATTACAATTTAAAATAACTGCTTTATATTTCAATATCTGTTAAACTGTAATTTATTTCTGTGATCAAAGCTGTATTTCAGATAAATGCTCTTCTTCTGAAATTTCTATTCATCAAGAAATAAGTTTTCAACACAATAATAATAATACATGTTTTTTTAGCAGCAAATCAGCATATTATAATGATTTCTGAAGATCATGTGACACTGAAGACTGGAGGAAGGATGCTAAATATTCAGCTTTGAAATCACAGGAATAAATTACAGTTTAAAATATATTCAAATAGAAAAGTTATTTTAAAGAGTACTGCTTTTGCTGTATTTTGGATGAAATAAATGCAGGCTTGGTGAGCAGAAGAGACTTCTTTAAAAACATTAGAAACCTTACTGTTCAAACACTTCTGACTGGCAGTGTATAATATACATTTTGTTGGTCTTTCATGCTTTATTTTTACACAAAAGATAATTTCAGTGTTTCAACTTTGGATTTCAAACGAGGATATTTTTGTTCATTTGCTTTTCATAATATCTGTTAGGCTTTTATGAGCTTGTCCGTCCTGCAGAGTCCCTTGTGTGCGTGTTAAGCGTGATTGAACAGTGTGTTCTTCTGCTTCTGTCTCGACAGCGTCTCCTCGAGGCCTGACGCATCTCTGTGGGCTGAGGATCCGAGAGCAGCTGGGGCCGCAGAGACTGAGATGTGTGGAGTCACTGCCGCTGCCGGGCCCCATGCTGCGCTTCCTGAGCTCCAGGGGCCTTTAGCACAACACTGACCGCACCAGATTACACTCCTGTGCACTGTGTATTTATATCACTTTGAATTCATCGTGACGTGCTTGACACACAGTTTAATGTAAATGATCTGAAAATACCGATATGATGGTGGTGTTCACAGAATAAACCTGCTCTCAGGCTTCGAGTGTCTGAGCTCTTGAAAAGCTGTCATTCCTTTCATTAACAGACAGTGCAAAATAGTGAATTATTACCAGATATAATCAGCTCATTTAGCACACGCTCTGGATTACGATCAGGTTTTTAGTGTGACAGCATCTCTAACTAAATAATAAATCATCTAACGGGTTAAAGCCAGCGCTGGGAGTAACTAGTTACATGTAACGGAATGTAGCTGTAATCTGTTACAGTGTCATTAAATTACAGTTACTTCTGAAAATGTTAATGATTACAAAGGGGTTACATCTGAATATTTTCACACACACACACAGATTTGATTGATTTCTTTCATAAACTGCAGTGACTGCTCTGAAATATGAGACAGCAGGGCTCCAGGAGTTTAGGACACGTTTAATCAATAACTGTTTAATTTCCTGTTTGGGTTTATGTGCATACTTTATATTTTTTTAAAGATTATGTTTTTTCCAAAGCATTGTTAACATATAAAATGTAATGAATTTAGCAGAATTTCGCTGTTTCTCTGGAGGAGCAGGAGGTGTGCGCTCAAGAATCCTGTCTGTCTGTTTGCCCCTCACTCCAGCCACACAGAAGCTGAATCCCTCCTTCAAGCCTTGCGGAGGAGCCGGAGAGCACTCTCGCATTTGTAGTCGAACATTCGGAGACTTAAATCGAGTCGTCAAGAAAGAGAAAGTTAGACAAAGCCCATAGAACTGCCAACAGCAAACACTGTCCTGTGTCATATTAGTGGGTCTGCGTGGCTCCCTCTGGCTGGAGGACAATAGCAGGAGTTTGCTCACTCGAGTACTGTCACCTGCCCAGGTTTGGACCCTACCGGAGCCCAGGGCCCGGAGCAGGACCATCCCACAGAAAGCAGCGGCTCCGCAGGGAGCAGCAGAAAGGGATTGTGAAATGCTACTTGAGCTCTGTCCCTCATTGAGAAGAGAACAGAGAGAGCAGGACTACCTATCCGTCCCGTCGAGACGCCTCCTCTTCATCTTCATCACCTTCCTCTTTCCATTTTGTTGAATTATTGATAGGTTGTAAGAAATATATGTAGTAACTGCTCAGTGCCTGGGGAAGTGATGGTGTGTCAGAAGGCTGTGGAGCTGTGTTCAGCTGCAGGTCTTCCTCTAACGCTCCTCATCTGAGACAGCAGCTCTGCTCTTCTGAAGTGTGTGAGGATGAGTCAAGGCCTGAGGAAGAAGAGCGGGGTCATCTCACAGCAAACAGCCTGATATACTGTGCTCCTGCCGGCTTACTCCAGCTTGCAGCCGACACAACCCTACTAAATACATTATAGATTTAAAATACATTCATTCCATAAGTATAGTTCAAATCTATTAACATATTTACTGACAGATAACTCAAGACTTGCTGATATAAAAAATATAATTAAACTTTACTTAGCATTCTACTTGTGCACAATGCACTTTTCTTAATATTAAGCCTAAAATGTTTTAATGGCACTATTGGTGAGGATTGTATGATCTTTGAATAATATCAGACTTTAAATGTAAATTATTTAAAGTGTACCTGAAGTATACTTGCAATAGTTCCACTTTAGCACAATATACTAAGTATATCTTTAATTGTACTTCAGCACGATTAAAGTGCATTAACAAAATTAGTTGTTCCAATTCAGCAGACTTTAAGTATAGCAGTTTAGTACACTAAAAGTACAATTGCAGGACATTTTAAATACATAAATATAAAAATGTATTTGTAGTATACTTAGTGTGATTTATAATGTAGTTTCCCTAGTGAAAAATAAATGTACTTGAAAGTATTAAGTATATTTATTTCATGGGGTGTTCTCCCAGTGTGTTCTCCTGCATTTCTCTCATGATAAAAGAGTGTCAGACGAGAACAAAACTTGACGTGAATAATGACTCGGTCAGGGGCGTGAAAAGTACTCAAATTATACTCTGTGAAAGTTTCTCTCAAAAGTACACGTATCTGAACAAAAACATGCTTGAGTAAAAGTAAAAAAGTACAACTTTAAATTGATCAGATCTGCAGGACTGACACACAATCAGGACACAATGAAAGAAGACGGAACAAAAACAGGCTTTTTAATGCGTCACAAACCAGCAGCACCAACAGCCACGTAACAGCTGTACATGTGATACAGAAATACTCTTCACACGTTACAGCAGAGCAAAGAAACAGCGCCTGTGAAGTCCAACAAACTGCACACAAACAAAAATTCTGTCTTCTTTTGACAGTAATATGACAAATGCGCTCAACTACATCAGACTGAACAGAGTTCACAGGTCTTTGTAGCTTAACTGGCTGCTGTGTGGACAGGGTTTGATCAGATGTGGGTGTGAGTGTTGAAGCTGGAGCGTCTCAGCAGGCCGGCGTCGGTCAGAGAGTACCGTCGAGCCGCCCAGCTCCTCCGCTCCTGCAGCACACACAGCAGCTCCTCGGCTTCTGCAGGGAGCGCCCCTTCTGTCTGACACAACACCACAGTATTACACCGCTCAGAGTCACATCACTCACACAAAACACAGTAAAACACAGCTGCTCTCCGTTAGATTGTTAACTTTCCCCGCCAGCGTTTTTGCTGACTTTCACGAATATTTTAAGGCCCCCAGAATATTTTGTTGTATGAATATCTGAACATGCAATACATCAAACTAAAGATCAGACCCTCCACTTTCAAACTAAAAAACCTGTTTTATTCTAGCTTCAAGAATCGTTTCTTTTAATCAACACTTGAATGTTGCTTTTTTTATGAAGTCTAAAACTACATTGAGCAAAAAGCTGAGAAAATCAAATTTTTATCAAATACTACATCTGTATCATATTCAGTAATATTATCAAAGCAAAGCTGCAGTAGATGGCTTCCATCAGCGCTCCCAAAGCTTCACAGCTCTTTCTGGATCCACACTTACCTCGCTAACATTAGGCAGTTTTCATTTATATGCGGTTAGTGTTGATGATCGCATTATTTTTCAGAAGCTTACATATGAGAGCGCTGGTTTTTGCGTCTTCCTGGTCTGTGTTTTTGATCGAGTGATTCTAGACTCAATCAGGAGATGCGAGATAGCGCCCCCTAGCGTTTAACAGTGAGAACACAGAAAATTCTGTGTTTGGCGGGGAAGGAGTTAATATTAATCACACAATAACAGACAGGACAATCAAACACTATGACTGGATAACCGTGTAGACGACTCATTAAAGGGATAGTTCACCCAAAAATGAAAATGCTGAAAATGCACACACCCTCAGGCCATCCGAGATGTAGAGGAGTGTGTTTCTTCATCAGGTTTGTAGAAATGTAGCACTGCATCAGTGTCTCAGCAATGGATGCTCTGCAGTGAATGGGTGCCGTCAGAATGACAGTCCAAACAGCTGATAAAAACATCACAATAATCCACAGCACTCCAGTCCATCAGTTAACATCTGGAGAAGAGATGTAACGATTACTGGTTTGACGATAAATCATGATAAAATTCCCCACGATTAGTATTACCATTTCATATTTTAATTATTATAACCATATTAGATTACCGCGATTTGAACAACTCCGGATAAATAGCTCTTTCTGGGTTAGCTCTTTCTGATTCTGATTCGGTCCAGCATAAAGCAGAGTTTTAAGTAACAGTCTTGCGTGCGCACAGCAGCGTCGTTTGGCGGAGAAGCTGGGAGGGTTTAAGAGTGCTAATAAGGGAATTATACAAATGAATATATCCATCAGCGCCACCAGCTGTCAGCGAGTGGAGTTACAGAGACATATTTACTGTCCAGCCAAAAACAGACCTGATTTACAAGCCCTGCTGCACATTCTGACCGGCTGATGAAAAACAAGCTTCTGTGGATTCTACATTTTTAAACAATTCATACAAGTTATCTAGAATCATTTATGGAGCAGATCAAATACATATAATCATTTATTAATCAATTATCATTTTGACTCAACCCTTTTCTTTATTTAAAGGCTGAAATGTGAAGTTTACCGTTTTATGAACCGTTTCAAAGCTTTATTTGAACATTTCGTTCGTGTGATTAGATAAACTGTTGTCAGTCATGTTGTCATTTAAAATCCGGACATCACTGGTAATGTTATT